CAAACCCTAGTTCATCTCTTGTATCCGATCTTTGTCTCAAAACCTCAGATTGGTACATGTTGGTTGCTAGTAGTGTTGATTACTCCTTGTAGTTGATGCTAGTTGGTTTATTCGGTGGAACATCATATGTTCAGATCCTTTGTGATAATTATTACTCTCTAATTATGAACATGAATATGCTTCATGAGTAGTTACATTTTTTCCTTAGGACATTGGAGAAGTCTTGTTATAAGTAATCATGTGAATTTGGTATTCGTTCGATATTTTGATGAGATGTATGTTGTCTTTCCTCTAGTGGTGTTATGTGAACGTCGACTACATGACACTTCACCATTATTTGGGCTTAGGGGAAGGCATTGGGAAGTAATAAGTAGATTATGGGTTGCTAGAGTGACAGAAGTTTAAACCCTAGTTTATGCGTTGCTTCGTAAGGGGCTGATTTGGATCCACATGTTTCATGATATGGTTAGATTTATCTTAATTCTTATTTCGTAGTTGCGGATGCTTGCGAGAGGTGTTAATCATAAGTGGGAGGCTTGTCCAAGTAAGGACAGCACCCAAGCATCGGTCCACCCACATATCAAATTATCAAAGTAATGAACACTTGCTTTATATAAGTGCTTGACAGTAATTCCCATGTGTCCTCGGGAGCGTTTTGCTTTATATAAGAGTTCATCGAGGCTTGTCCTTTGCTACAAAAAGGATTGGGCCACCTTGCTGCACCTTTGTTACACTTGTTACTAGTTGCCCATTATGAACTATCTTATCACACAACTATCTGTTACCGCTAATTTCATTGCTTGCAGAGAATACCTTGCTGAAAACCACTTGCCATTTCCTTCTACTCCTCATTGGGTTCGACACTCTTACTTATCGAAAGGACTACGATAGATCCACTATACTTGTGGGTCATCATAGATTGACTCTGTAATCATCCTATACACTAGCTTCAAGATAATCAAGGGAGATGTAGGTTTTTCCTCTTAGAGAGGGCCCGAACTTGGGTAAGCATCGTGTCCTTCGTCCCTTGTTCCCCATTGATCCAAGATCCATAGCTCGGGACCCCCTACCCGAGATCTGCCGGTTTTGACACCGAAAACGTTCAAGGCATTTTAAGCATGGAGTAACAAATTCTTCCTGAGAGGTGTCGATCTGTTGAGCAAGCAATGAATCATTGTATTTCTGAAGATCATCATGAGAAGCTCTCAACTTCTCGAGTTCTTGCTTCCTTTGAAGAAATTCATAGGACAGCTTCTCGTGTGCAACTGAGAGGGCCACATGACGACTCTCAAGTTCATCATATTTTGACTGTAGACGCTCAAGGTCTTCAATCAGAATTTGAGATCGTCACTTTTATCTAACAGTTTGTGAATCTTTTCCATGGCAGTTTGTTGCTTTGCAACAATTGTAGCAAGTTTGGAATAACTAGGAGTCATGTTTTCATCAGATTCACCTTCACTTGAAGAAGATGAAGACGACTTGAGTACCTTAATGCCTTTGGCCACGAGGCATGTTGCTGAGGATGATGAGTCTGGATCACATGTCATGGACTTGAGGGATTCCTTGAACTCGAGGAACCAGGGATCCTGACGAGTGCGGTGACCTTCATAGACGTCAGAGATCCTGTCCCAAATGATCTTCACGTTGGCTAAGTGCATGATATGTCTGAACTCATCTTTGGATGGGCTGGAGTAGATGACATCCCTTGCCAAGTACCCAGCCGAGTATACTTGCGAATGTCATCAACATGCGCCATCTTGCATAGATCGGTAAGACCAATCTCAGTGACGGTCCACATCTCGCAGTTTGTCGCTAAGAGACACTTCCTCATCATGACTTTCACTTGGGTTAGTAGTAGCCATCAAAGATGCGGCACGCAGCTGACACCTTCTTCATACCTGTAGTCGACATAACTAAATCTCCAGGTGGTTAAACCAAAATCACATAGAACAAGGGAGTACCTTTCTCTAATACCAATTGAAAGCGCAGGTTATCTCTTAGGGGGGTGAACGGGAGATTTTTAGAAATTCATCAAACTCTGAGGAATTTGACGAAGATCAGAGTGAAGAAATAGAGATGCAAGGGAAACTAAGTCATCACAGAATTAGAGAGCACGCGGTCATGATACGTAAGAGTGAAGAACAAGCAATCATACAATCATACACGCATGAAGAATATGAACTGAGGACATGAAAGATAGCTTGATGAAATTCTTCAGTTCAAATTCTTCAGAGCATAGATCACAAATTCTTCAACGGCGGAATAATGTAAGAGAGGGTGAGAAATTTGAAACCAGGTAGGCTCGGTGAAGACAATGCAATTTGGTAGACCAGTTCAAGTTTCTATATCAACTGTACGTCTGATTGAGGTGGCTGAGTCGCAACTTAGAGGACACTCAATCATCACCATATTCCTCTTGAGCTAAGGTCACTTAGTCCTCACCCAATCACTCATGGTAAGTCTTCAAGGTAGACTTCCAAAACCTTCACAGACTTGTTCACCAACACACCACAATGACTCTTGGTGTACTCAAAACTTGACGCCTCACCGTCTGGAAGAATGACACTTTTCAAAGGTAACAGGCGTCATATCACACAGATCAATCTCTTTAGTGATGCTCAATCACTTTGGCTCTGGGTTTTTCCTCACTTGGGATTCTCTCAAAGTCGTCAGAGGATGGGTTGCTCCCAAATGACAAGCGTCAAGTTCTCTCGGAGCAGCCAACCAACAAGTGATTATGGGGGCGGCTATTTATAGTCAGGGGCAACCCGAGATGAATTTTCATGCCCATCTCTGATTCGACTGTTGTCAGGATAAGGATCCACTCGACAGCTAGCCCACGGCGCAGCAACAACCAGAATTTGAACTCTCAAATTCGTCGGGGCACTCAATTTCCTCACGATAGGTAGATCACACTGGCGAACTCCTAACTCCTCAACCTAAACAAATTCGTCAACGACTAGATGAACTTCGTCACTGTCGCTAGCAAATGCGTCAACTGTACTAGAGATTTCCAAAGGCTTCACTCGAAGCGGTTGTTGCGTGTATAGGTTTGAGTCAGTTTGAGCATCACTTTGGAATTGTGAAATATGTTTTACCTAGACCCCCTTTACCGGTACGGTTTTCCTATGACTCAAGGAAGAAGAAAAAGAAACTATCAAAACAAAAGTCGTCGAGCTTCAAAGTCTTCTCATCAATTTCTTCAAAGGCCGTACCAATTTCATAACCAAATTCTTCACTTGAAGAAATTCATTTTTAGGGGTCGTCTTCCATGTGTTAAACCAAATCTTCAGGGACTCTGTTTCATGTGTATACTCACAAACACATTAGTTCCTCAACCTATTTGTCTTCAATATTCCAAAACCACTAAGGGGGCACTTGATGCACTTACACTATCTCACACCGCGAGAAGATCTCATGTAGGGACCCATTTCATCATTACTATCAATAGAGGTGCTCCCGCTGGACAGCATTTTGCATTATCCCACAAATCAAGCGGTCCTCGAAGCCCCTCCTTTCCACCACCTGACGAGGCAATGACCAATCTAGGCAATCATACGCCTTTTGGAATTCCAACCTACGGAAGATGCCTCTTTGGTGTTTAACCATAACGTCATGGATAACTTCATGAAGTACTAATATCATGTCGTCGTTGTAGCTCCCCTTAACAAAAGCGTATTGGCTCATGTGTGTCAATTTGTGAGCAAGCATGACAAATCTAGCCGCACACACCTTCACAATGATTCACTAGATAACGTTAAACACCGTGATTGGCCTAAAGTTGCTTGATCACTATGCCCCCACAATCTTAGGGATAAAGGTTATCACACTGACGTTAAGGTGAGAAATATCAAGGGTGCCAACAAAGAATTCTTGAAACATGGACATGATCACCGGCTTGATATCATCCTAAAACTTTTGGAAAAAAGGTGACTAGCAACACATCCGGATCCTAGACCAAGTTGGACCTCATTTCCATGACTTCTTCATACCTCTCGTTGTTGTTCTCCTTGTGTCTGTCGTTGTTGCTCATCTTAGATCTCGATACAACAAGTTGAGATGAAGTCAAGTGCTCGACCAGACATATGCCTAAAACTCATCGATAGTGGAACCGATGGCGTATGCGTGTGGTTGATTGAAAGGTCAATGATGAATGAACAAACATACGTATATTAGGTTAAATTAGGGTGTTCGGAGAGCACGAAAATAGTAGGAATACGAGATTCAGATTTATATCATCCCTGGTAGTGCCAAAAAGCTCAGTGTTGAAACCACTCGTGATTGATTCATATTATACATTTTAGGGCACAATCTAAGTTTTTGGAAATCCACGCTTTATCTTACACTAAGCATCATAATTACAATTTAGAGTTGAAAATGATATGTATTATGGGCCATAGGTGAGTCCACTTGGGCAAGTCATTATCAATATTTTTTATGTGTTGAGAAAGTGTTTTCCAATAGATCCTTTTTTGGGAATTTAATTTCATATACTAGTTGCTGTTTTTTTTTTGAGAGAAATATCAGTCGTTGTTACCTTATTTTTTGAGAATAGTCGCAGTTAGCCTTTCTTTTTTGATATAAAAATCGCTGTTAGTTTTTTTTTTAACATCAGTCGCTGTTAGTTTTTTTTTAACATCAGTCGCTGTTGGCTAAGGTCCAGAGACCAGAGCTACATTCAAAAAGAGAAGAAAAGAAAAACTATGGTCCAGAGCCCACCCTTTCTTCTTGAGATATGGCCCAGAGCCGAAGGGAGGATTTGGGCTTTTGTTCGCCAGCTGCCCACAACCGTGTCAAGCCCAAGACCAGGCCGAAAGCCCACACAGCCGAACGGGGGGACTAAAACCCTACCCCTCGCAGTATATATATAAGCTCTCTCGTCCCCTCGCTTCCCCCTCATTCTTTGTCATCCCGGCGGCGGCGCGTAGCACAGGAGAAGGAGCAGGCGGCGGTGGTGCCCGAAGACGAGAAGCACGGCGACCTAGCCCGAGCTCGCAACCATGGTGAGCGCCGCCCCTTTCCCCATCTTCATCCCTCCGCGTGCTTCCTTGCCTCTCGCTTGTAGATCCGATCCGTGGCCATGCGGTAGCGCCGCCGGCTCTCTGTTGTTGAGGTCCTTGGTTAGGGTTGAGGTCATTCGGTGGCTTGTGCTCTTACTTGGCTCGGTAGATTTGCTTGTGTTTTCCCTAGTGATTCCTGTGGTTGATGGGTTGTAGCGTGTACTGTTAGTGGGTTCCATGCCTGTTCTAACATAGATCAACTCTCAATCCATGTAGCGTTGCGTTGATTCATGATCTAGAGGCCGCTACCGGTGTGGCTTTGGAAGATTTAGCTGCATGATTTGACCAGATTTGTATAACTTGTTGTAGATTGTAGATCAGTTTCGTTTCTTCTCTATGTGTTCCAAAGTGTTTTCCGAGGAGAATTTGTTTTGAGATGTCCTGCCTAATGCTCACAGTTGTAGCCAGCAATTTTCATGCTAAAATTACTCACACCCTAAGTTCGATGAATACTAAGTAGAACACATATTCCATCAAGACTTGCAGCAATCTCTTGTAATCTAACCATTTTTATGAGGTTTATGATCTAATGTGGGATACTGTACTTGTTTGCTGTTCATGTTTCGAAAAGATAATAATTGTTGTCCTTGTTTACCTGTCAACAGGCTAGGGGTTTGAAGAAGCATCTGAAGAGGCTCAATGCCCCGTCTCACTGGATGCTTGACAAGCTTGGTGGAGCTTTTGTAAGTGCATCAGTTCTTCTATCCTGTACTTCTTCAGGCATTTAAGATGTTCTTGTTCAGTGATCTGATACTTGATTTGTCTATTGATTTCAGGCCCCCAAGCCATCATCTGGTCCTCACAAGGCCAGGGAGTGCCTTCCTCTGATCCTCATCCTGAGGAACAGACTGAAATATGCTCTCACCTACCGTGAAGTGCAGTCTATCCTTATGCAGCGTCATATCATGGTTGATGGAAAGGTCCGCACTGACAAGACCTACCCTGCTGGTTTCATGGGTATGCTCTAATCTTGTAACAGAATTATTTGTATCCTATGTGAATTCACATTCTGCAAAGATTGTTAACGTCACTTGATTGCCGATATCTTCATTTTTGTCTATTAGACATCATTTCCATTCCCAAGACTGGTGAGAACTACAGGCTTCTGTATGACACCAAGGGCCGCTTCCGCCTTCACTCTGTCAGGGATGAGGATGCTAAGGTTAGGTCTATCCTGTTTCTGTAATGTCATCCTGGTCTTCCATAATGCTGATGCCTTCTGATATCTAGAACTGCTTATATTGCACTTATGAAACCTACTTGTATATGGGTAAGCATCAATATCCTCTTGCAATGAAGACCTTGCTGTTTGCCTACCATTGTACCACTCTGTTGCATGTTTGCTTTTCTATTTGCTCACCATGCTTAACTGTTTCAATCCTGTCTTCCGTTTTCTGAAGATGCAATTTTGTTTTCAGATACTGCATAGATAAATTCTAGTTTGTCATTTGTTTTATTATCCTTAAATGTAGTATATACCATTATCTATTCATCTACTGACTTTGTTTCCTTCATGTGCAGTTCAAGCTCTGCAAGGTCAGGTCTGTCCAGTTCGGCCAGAAGGGCATCCCCTACCTGAACACCTATGATGGCCGCACCATCCGCTACCCAGACCCTCTCATCAAGGCCAATGACACTATCAAGCTCGACCTGGAGACCAACAAGATTGTTGACTTCATCAAGTTCGACGTTGGTAACGTGGTCATGGTGACTGGCGGGCGCAACACTGGGCGTGTTGGTGTGATCAAGAACAGGGAGAAGCATAAGGGAACCTTCGAGACCATCCACGTTGAGGATGCCCAGGGCCACCAGTTCGCCACCCGTCTGGGCAATGTATTCACCATTGGCAAGGGCACCAAGCCATGGGTGAGCCTCCCCAAGGGCAAGGGTATCAAGCTCACCATCATTGAGGAGCAGAGGAAGCGGGATGCCGCTGCCCAGGCTGCTGCCAAGGCCTGATTCTGAGGCGTTGAGTCGTTTTGCTATAGCCAGTTATCTGCAAGGATATAGAACTATGTTCCTGGAACCATCGTTTTTAAGTTTTGCCTGATGTTTGTTGATTTGCGAACTCGTGGTTGCCTCTAGATGTAATGTGGATGTTTATCTTATTAAGTGCTATTTCGAGACCTCATCCGGTTATCTTAAATGTTATCTGATAAAATGCTCTCTGTTTAAAGTTGGAAGATGTTTGCAACCTCTGATTTTGCTTCTTTTGGGGTTGACTTCATGGTTGGAGTTGTTGTGGAACCTTTGGCCCCAGCTTGTCAACTGTGTGGAATACTGGAACCCTGAGCGGACCCTCTTTAGATCAATTATATTCAACTAAATGTTCGGAATTCAACTTTAGTTCATTTGATTGAACTAACTCTTTAGTTCAACAATTCAACTAAATGTGCAGAATTCACTTTATTTTTGAAGCTTCAGTTCTTTTGGTTGACGACATTGTTTGAGTTGGAGTTCGTTCATCCGTGTGCGTCCCAGTGGTGGCGGCTGTTTGGGCCATTGAGAGGAGAAAATGTTTTCTTCCAGATGCCGCACGGTACCCTAAATCGGTTTTAGGGGTAACCACGAACTAGTTTTGTTGGAGGCGTTTTTGTGGGACCTGCTAGAGATGCTCTAAATGGAGTCTGGCTCGTGATCCACATCCGTCTATGGACCGTCGATAGAAGACATCGCCATGGCCTTGCAAATCACATGATGTGTTCCCTCTGTGGCATGAAGCAGAAGACTTCTGGTCACCTCATGGTAGGATGCACGTACTCCTTGCCGTTTGGACCTCGGCCCTGGGACGATGCTGCTTGGGCGGATGCCAAAGGGCGGGGAGCTGGCGGAATGGTGGTCTGCCACGCCGACACCTACCGAAGCAACCTTAGTGGGACTTTGTCACATTTGCGCTTCGTCGTCTTCATGCTATGGCTCGAGCGCAACGACATAGTCTTCCAAGCCTCGTCAAGCACGATTCATCAGCTCAAACACTGCGATCATGATCGAGGGCGATCTATGGACGAAGACGGGAAAAGGGTTGTGCGGCATTTTAAGATGGAACCTGATAAGTGTCACACGTTAGGTACGAGCACACAACAACTTCCAAAGTTTTCGATGGCAAGTTTACTGGCGCGAGGATGGCAACTTTAGTTGCCAAGCATGACAACTTTCATGTTTTAGTTTTTTTTCTGACAAAAAACTTGCCGTCTATCACTAAAAATCATCATCCTTACGTGACTGGAATAGCTATCGAAAAACAATAGGACCGGAGTGCTACACACCTAACATGTGACACTTATCATTTGAGTTTAAGATAGCCTGGGTGTGTTCGTTTTTCTTTTTGGACAACGATGGTGTTCTTATTGGCGTTGTATTGACTAAGGGTGTAGGACCGACCAATCCCTCACCATAGCCGTTGTGTTGGCCGCCATCGGCGGAACACCTCTTGTACGTTGTTTTCCGTTCTAATAATGCAATGACGCACGAAGCTCTTGGGTGTCTGAAAAAAATCTTTCTTCATATTAAAATTTGGTACTTTCTCTATTTATATACATAGGGCTAAATACGTTTTTCAAGGCTAACTTTGATCACATGTTATGACATACTTCATTACTGGCCAGGTGCACCTCAAGAACGGCAGCTCATGGTGGATCTCGGTAGTTTACGAACCACAAGGGAATGAACTGAAAACATAATTCCTCACTGAGCTGTATGCTAGGGGATTGGCCTGCCCAGGGCCTTGGGTCGTCTTAGGAGACTTTAACATGATCTTGCGGGCCTCAGAGAAGAATAATGCTAATCTCAACAGAAGTGTGATCACCAAATTTCAGAACTTTGTTGACGACCACGAGCTCAAAGAATTGTACATGCATGGACGTACATTCACGTGGTCTAACGAGCGAGAAACTCCTAGGCTAACCAAGATCGACTGTGTCTTGGTTTTGTTGGAATGGGAACTGGCCCACCCGAAGTATGTTCTTCACGCCTTTTCAACTAGTCCCTCGGATCATGCGCTACTCCACCTCTTGACTAGCATCAACTATAGTACGAAGCACACCACTTCCGTTTTGAGCTATACTGGACGAAACTCGATGGCTTTGGGGAGGCCATTAGTGCAGCTTGGGCTTGCGATGATTCCATCGTCGATCCTTTTAAAAGGTTAGATACACAGTTCAGGAACATGCCGAGTTACCTGTAGGCATGGGGGCAGAGGCAGACATGAAACATCAAGCTGCTCAGGAAGGTGGCTAACTAGGTGATATTCGGTTTTGGTAAGGCCCAAGAAAACAGGAGCCTAACCTCCTTGAACTACGGCTGAGGAGAACGCTCAAGTTATCGCTGCCGGGGCTGGCTAGCTTGGAGTGTATCATTGATAGGCAAAGATCTAGGCTGAGGTGGCTCAAGGATGGTGATGCTAACTCTAAACTCTTCCAAGCAATGGCGAACAGCAGGAGGGCAAAAAACTTCATATCCAGCATCACATCAGGGGTGGAGATCATTACTGATCAAACACGGATGGAAGAGGTGTTTTCACAACATTCAAAAACTTGCTGGGAGTTGTGCCAGCAAGGAACGAGACCCTAAACCTGGAGTACCTTGGCATTCAATCCCATGACCTGGGCGACCTAGATCAGATCTTCAGGGAAGAAGTATGGAGAGTCATTAGATAAATTTCAGCGGACAGAGCACCAGGGCCCGACGAATTCATTGGTGCGTTTATCACAAAGCGTGGCCAATCATTAAAGGAGACATCATGGCCGCCTTACTTCAGCTGTTCGTTGGGGATGGCAGGGGATCCCACAAACTCAACCGCGCACACATAGTTCTGATCCCCAAGAAGGTAGACACACACGAAGTGTTTGATTTTCGCCCAATAAGTTTGCCACACAGCTTCTCCAAGTTGTTTGTGAATTTGCTAGCATCGCGGGTGAGGAAACGAATGCCAGACATTGTAGACATTAATCAGTCCGCATTTATAAAGGGTAGAAATCTGCACGATAATTTTCTGTTGGTCCGGCAGGTGGCTCAGAAAATACATATCAAGAAGGAACCGAGAGTCTTTCTGAAACTGGACATTACTAAAGCATTCGATGCCTTTTCCTGGCTGTTTTTATTTGAGATCATGAGATCCAAGGGCTTTGGACCTGGGTGGATGAGATGGATTGCTATTCTCCTTCAAACTTCCAGCACCAAGGTCATCTTTAATGGCGCCCCGGGAAGGTGCATCCACCATGCTAAACGGTTACGACAAGGTGACCTAGTTTCTCCGTGCTGTTTGTCATCGCCATGGACTCACTATGATGCGACATTGTCTACGGACACTGATGTTTCGTTAATGGAGAAGTATGTCATATCAGCTAAGCGCCGTGACAAAAGAAATCAAATGGTTACTTTCAGTTCTATGCATAAACAAAGTACGACCATGCCATGTTTAGCTTCGAAGGTACAGGTACTACAGATTGGCAGGATAAAATTTCATATTATTCCGAAGAAAGAAGTGAAGCCTACCTTTCGAACACCATGCAATCAAGGCACGATCAGAAATATTGCGTCCAACTATTTTTGAAGCAACACTATAAGGATTCACAAGGGAGCATGCACGTGGTTGTCAAAGTACTAGTCCGTTTTCGACTTTTGTGTTCAACATGGCCGGATACTTAAATTAGTTGAGATTTGATTTGTTAGGATAGGGGAGAGAGAGTCCGTATGTGTCTTTCCTTGTTTAAGTCGGTACAGTTTTTATCACCTATATAAAGGGCTGGCCGGCCGGCCGTGTAGGGGTAGTTTTCTTTTGGCTATTTTGCATCGATGGATAGATTAGCAAGTCGGGGTATCTTGAGGCCGCCGCAGAATATTTGTTGATAGCTTTTGAGGCTATGTGATTTTGGTTTGAGATTGATTCTAGAGTTTCAATTTCTGCTGATCTGGTGAAGATCGTCCACGTACTTCCTCTTTTGGGTGTGCGTGTTGTTTTGGTGGTGATTGCATCTACAAGATCGCGAGCGCCACACTGTTTCAGGTGACACCGTACCATGAAAGATTGGGCAAATTAATTATACCATCGATTTTCTGTCGACGATCGCATCAAGTGGTATTCAGAGCAAGGTTGATCACGATACAATTTTTTTTCTCGGCTATTTGATTCAATTATTTGAAAGATGGTGAACTCGTAGCATGAAAAATCTGATCATGAGGAGGGCGATGATAAAATGCATGCAAGTACATCTGACAGAAGACTTTGATGGTCATGAGGAAGACTTAAGATAAACATCCAACATGAGGAGAGAGAGAAAGAGGGAATGTATAGTACATGCATGCAAGTGTCATCTGATAAAAAGCTGACTTTGATGGGACCTGTGTATCCTTTTTGCATGTTGTATAACTATGTATTCATGAGAACATAATGTTTTGTTTTTTATGCTCTCTTCGTCCCTAAATATTTGTCTTTCTACAGATTTCAAATGATCACCACATACAGATGTATATAGACATATTTTAGAGTGTAAGTTCACTCATTTTGCTCTAAAAAGATAAATATTTAGAAACGGAGAGTACTACACAGTGCTACACTAATCTTTAAAACGCAATGGACGGCCGGAGATCTGCCGGTACGAGACGGAACCGTGCAATTTTCCGCTTCGGTATCTGATGATGTTGTAAGCCCAACCTGTTTAGATGGCGTGGTGGTTCTTCATGAGATCTTATATGAACTGAAAATGAAACACCAATCAGGCTGGAGTTGTTCGGCTCTGACCATGGCAACACGATGCTCTCGCAGGCTGCAGCTATCTTATGGCGCTTGCTGCTATCTAAGCATAATAATACTAAAACAAGAAACTTGCAGAAGAAAGTCAGAATTTGTTTGACGATATTGATACCAGATGTCCTTAAGAGTTAAGATGACCCAACATTTCATTTGAAACTTGATCCACAGCATATAAGGAACAAACAATGACAAATCAGAGTATGAGTAGCCGGGAGAAATCCTTGCTCCGGTCTTCACCGAAGCCGGCGACGGCGGCGCCCGCGGGTGCCGTGATCTTTCTTGGAAGCGTCGCCGTGGAGTTGCTCCTTCTCCCCACAGCTTGGGCTCCGGAGGGAAACCTCAGATTCGTTGGATCGGGCGATGGAGGAGTCTTCGTGTCTTTCTTCTCCTTGGAGGCATCGTCTCGGAGCCGGCTACGACTGAGAGACTGGAGGATGATGGCATCTTTGCCGTCGATGGCGGCATCTTCACCGCGTGGTTTGCTGAGGCGGGGCGCTGGTGTCTGTTTGGCAACGATGATGGCGTCGAGAGGAGCTTGGGTCGCGGCGTGGTCTTGGTGTTCGAGGTGCTCTTTTGGGCACGGTCGGCGCAAGTCCTGCATATTTCCCCTGTGTTGCTCGTCGTCAAAGTCGGAGCTGTCGGTTGCTTGCGCGTGTGGCCATCTGTTGGCATGTGCCGGCGTGGCTTCTGTTTCATGTCGGTGGCCAGGTTGGCCGGTGGTGCCCATGTCATGTGGGTTGTGCTGTATCGATTTTAGCCCGGTTTTCCGTCAATTAACCGGGCAATTCTCTTCTTCTTAATCAATAAAAATGGCAAATCTTTTGTCTCGTTTCAAAAAAAAAAAAGAGTATGAGTAGTGCTAACGACGTACTATTCGTAACAGATTTTAATTCAGATTTGCTCATTCTCATCTAGATGAGAATTAACGAAGTCTCATCTATTCCCACACTATTTGATTAACCAAAATAAATAAATAAAAATCCCTATGAATCTCTGTGCAAAATCCCATTTCAGTTTTGTATAAAGTTCCGACTCACACCTGGCATTTTGTTTCTCGAGCTGTAAACTGAATTTGGTCTCGAGACAAATTTTCTTTTCAAAATATAGATCGCAATGTTTTTATTGTGCCTGTTTCAGTCCATGGGTAGCACGAAAGAGGTGGAATGGAAGCACCGGCTGAGTCCTCGAGCTGCAGCGACATCTATGCGAGCTGGACAAATCCTCTGGCGATGGTGCCGTTGGCGCCCCGGGGCAGGAACCCGCCGGGGACCTGCTCGTTGCGCGAGCCGTAGAGGATGCGCAGCGCCTCCGCCGGGGTGCGCTGGTACCCGAGCGAGTCCACGCCGGCGCCGAGGATGTTGCTGATGGTGCGTCGCTCCGCGCCCTGATGCCGGTCCAGCACCTTGACCCCCTCGTCCTTGGCGCCGCAGCCGGACAGCTCGTTGCGCCAGTCGGAGATCCGGCGCGTGAACTCGGCCACCGTGCGCCCCTTGTAGGGCGCCACCGTCTCGTCGGCGCGCTGGTACAGCAGCATCCTGATCACCGCGTCCTGCCCGGCCTCCACCGCCAGGACGCTGGCGTGGAGGCGCTTGGAGGCGTAGCCCATGAGGTTGGGGCTGATGCCGACGGCGGCGGCGGCGGTGACGTGGGGCAGGATGTAGGAGGCGAGGAGGAAGTTGACGGTGCCGTTGTAGGCGTCGAAGGGCGGGTCGAGGCGCGCGCCCAGGGCGTCGTCCATGATGGCGGCGAAGCGGTCGGCGCTGAGGTCGATGGGCGGGCGCGGGAACCCGCCGTTGGCCTGCGTGATGGCCCTGATGTGGCCCACCTCCTGGTACCCGAGCTCCGCGGCGATCTCGGTGGTGCGGAAGTCGAGGCTGGCCTTGCGCGGGCCGACGGGGGCCGGGCCGCCCGCCGAGAGGTTGCGGTCGAGGTAGTCGATGCCGCGGCCCAGCGCGGCGTGGAGGAACCACTCCGCCTCCACGAACTTGGGGTTGAGCAGGAACTGCAGCTGCTCCATGTCGCTCGGGTACACCGCGATGGCGCCCCGCCGCGGCAGGCTCGGCCGGCACCGCGGGTCGTCCGTCTGTGTGACTGTGATGGTCGCCGCGAGCGCGACGACCTGCAGGCCCGCGGCCAGCAGCTGCAGCAGGAATGCGCCGTGCGCGCGAGCCATGGCCAGGGAGGACGGAGCGCCGGTCGTGCCGTGCTGGTGAGAGCTCGCGTGCTTGGCTCTGCTCTGCTCTGCCCATGCTCGTCCGTGTATTTGTGCTGCGGGCTGGGGGTCTGGTAATGGTTAGCGTGGATTTAGGAGGGCATGAGGTTGGCAGGACACGAAATGCTCGCGTGTCCATCACCACGGCGGGGGCGCGGCTGTGGCTGATGTTGACTAGGATTTGGTAAAATTTCTCTTAACCGTGCCCAAATGATCGCATGTTCTCTAGAGCGTTCTGTATTTTGAACCGTGCCCAAATCCCGTTCGATCGAAAATCAAGCAGCAAGAGTCCGACCTCAGGGTCCACCATAGAAAGGCATTCCTCAGTCCCAGAATAGCATGCATACGGGAGCCATATTCCAATCATGTGAACTACTAGTAATCTGTATTTTTTTCGGGAAACACAACTGTGCTTTTCTTTTTTCGGAAAGCACATACCGTGCCTTTTTTCTTCTTCTAGGAAAGCACAATTACAAAAACATATTGTCTTGGTTGATGAAAAGTTAGGTTGCTAACTTGGGAATCATAATTTAAAATACACATAACTTATTATGTTTGATTATGTATATTTGTAAAAATATTTATTGAATATAAGTAGAATAATTGAATAGAAAATATTTTTTCATGCATGGTTGAATGGTGTGATGAGTCTTTCTCTATGCATGATTGCATGTTGAGGTGGGCCTTATCCTACTTATAATTATATGATGAGGTGGCATTGCTTACATGTTGAGATAAATAAGTTAGTGGGCAACTCTCTCTTAGGTATATAGGGTTCTAAAGGATAGCAATTTTGTTAGGGAAGAAATCGTTTGTGTTCTTTTGGTTTGTAGGAATGGATTTCTGTTCCTATATAGGATAGAACTATTTTTCTTCATATTTTAAAGGAAAAAACATTAACCTAGACTCAATGAATTTTTTCTATCGTATGCGTCAAATGACATCTCTTTTCCTATAAAAATTGAGATATATATGTCATCTCATTATTTTCAGTTCCTATAATATTTCTATCATACGAACCAAATGAGACCTCAAACTATGACTATGAACTAACAGAGAGTAGTTTAATTAGGTTGGTCATCAGAATGATATATAGAATTAATACATCGTCATGAGGAAAAACTGACCTCTAGTTGAGTAATCCGTAATCCGCACCTGAGGTCATATCCTTTAGGATGAAGACTCGTATGCTCGTAGTGAACAATAAATGTGAAAAAACAGCATTTTTTTTCAAAAAAATCTAATAGCTTTAGGAATTCAAGATGCTCAGATGCGGTAGGAGCGTCCAAATTTTGGTGGTCAAATGACATACGAGCAGCTCATTGCCAAATAAAAGGAAGAAACAGGTGAATCTTTTCTTTTATTAGTTTTTTTGATAAAAGAAGGGCCCGTCCCTTCCGATTTCCATTAAAGAAACTAGCATCAGGTTCAAACGATTACACAACTAGAAGTTCAAGACACCATCAACATCTACAAATAGTAAAGAACGACCAAAGCACTACGAACTGCCCCCCTAAGGCAAACTGGCAAAAGCACAAAGCTAAATACGTCTACTTTATTACAGACCGGAATAGCTGCACACACGACCTTTTATGCACGACAGGTGGACGATGGTAGGATCTGACATTGCTTAGGTATGGAGGGATTCAATCCAACAATTATTACCCTATGTCGTCCATGCATCGTCCGCAAAATCATCGGCTGTGTAGCATTGCTCATTACAGACCAGACGAGATCTAAGGATCTAGCCACAGCAACCAAAGTCTTTTGATCATCTAAACACAAAATAAACTACCACTAGTAGAAAACGAGCCTATTGTCCCGGTTCGTAAGGGCCTTTTGTCCCGATTCCTGAACCAGGACTAAAGGGTCGGTACTAATGCCCTGTCTCTTTAGTCCCGGTTCAATCCAGAACCGGGACTGATGGGCCTCCACGTGGCCTGTACGCGGAGCCCAGGCAGGAGGGCCTTTGGTCCCGGTTGGTGGCACCAATCG